ATTTGCTGACATCATACTTCTTCATGATCATATTAAATTTTTAAGAAATAATGGGATGTCTATAGGACACTGAGAATGAAAATAGAACCCAGGAATTCTGAACAGATCAAATTTCCCCAGGAGTCAGTGCAACAAAAAGGTACTCTCTGGCCAGCGAGATGGCTCAGCGGGTAAAGACATCTGCCACCAAGTCTGATGACCTAAGTTGGATCCCCAGCCCCACACGGTGGAAGGAGACAACTGACTTGTGCAGGCCATCCTCTGGCCTCTGCGGGCACACCATGATACTAGCACACATATGTGCACATACAAAGTGAATGAACAAATGAATTTAAAAAATAAATAAGTAACAAAATATGCTCTAAACTGTACAAAACACAAAATAACTGCAAAACATCATCAAAGAATAAACTATTTCATTATTCATTCAGGTCAAAGATAAAAGAAATGTTAAAACAGTCACAGAGGCAAAGTGGACAAGAAGTAAATGATAATTACTAAATACATTTAAGCATATGGTGAATTAAATGTAATTGTGAGTATAGTTAAAAGCTACAACTTACATATTAATAATTCTTAATATACTTCTTAAAGGTCTGGGGTCCTAGATTACGTGAACATAAACTGAAGGATGGTGAATGGAGGGCGGAAGGGAGAAGGACAAACATGAGAAGGCAGAAGTGCCTGATTGCTTGGTTCTGTGAGTGCATAGAAAACACAGGGTTCCCGTCTTACACTAAAGCAATCTCTGCCTTCTAAACTTCTAGAAGCTAAAAAAAAAATCAAGACACACAGAGTCTGCACAAAAAAAAATAAACAAAAGTCACAAAATAAAGAGACCTTAGCCATCAAAAGAAAAACAAATGTTAATTTTCATTGATGTAAAATATAATAGCCACAAACACATATTATGAATCATTTATGCTGAAAAACCTCAGGCATCAAATTAGGAAGCCATCAGAAATACAGACAGAGCTACAGTGGCTCTGAGAGACTAACCCCCCTATCCCCTGGTCTTAGGCAATTGGTAGAAGACAAAACTGCAGAAGCAATTGCTAGGGTGGACGGCAGGCTTCTCATCCACAGCTCATTAACACCCACTGAAGTAATAAGGGTGGCGGGGCCGCTTCCCCAGCACCCCAGCCGCCCGCTCAGCTAGCTTATGCCCCCAAATAATTACACAGACACTGTATTCTTTTAAGCACTGCTTGGCCCTTTAGCTCTAGCACTTACAGGCTAATTCTCACATCTCGATCAACCCATCTCTAATAATCTGTGAGAACCGGTCTTACCGGGAAGATTCTAGCCTAGTCCATCCTGGGTCGGAGCTTCATGCCCGGAGCGGGGCATGGCATCTCTCTCAGGCGTCTGCTCCCTAGAGGAGAGCTGTCAAGTCTCTGAGCTCACTTCCTCTTCCTCCCAGCATTTTGTTCTGTTTACTCCTCCCACCTATCCTCTAACCAATAAAATGGGCCAGGGCAGTGCCTTTATTAGCCAATGACCTTCCTCCATCAACCCACTACTCTGCTGTAGAAGTTCACAGCCTCGACTCCAGCTGCTGCAGGAGCTAGCTAAAGGAGCTCAGGGTGTGTCCCGGAAGTTTGGGCCACATATAGTGAAAGTCCCTTGCCTAGAGAAAGTTGAAAGTTAAGGCAAATATTACTTGTGGTTCATAGTCTTTGCCATGCAGAAGAAGGACAGGAGGCTGAACCAGTAAAGCACTTGCCTTGCTGAGGCACACCTATAACCCCAGTGCTGGGGAGCGGGAGGCAGGAGGATCTCCTGGGATCACTTGCTTGCCAGTCTAGCCTAGTTGGTAAGCTCCAGGCCAATGAGAGACATTTTCTCAAAAAAGATGGATGGAGTCTCTGAGGATGACATTCAGGTTATCTCTTGGGCTTTACACACGCATACATATGCACACACATGTGCACATACACACGCATTAAAAATAAAAAATCAATTATTTCATCACATAATTGCATTATAGCAAACAATACAGAAAGAATCAAACATGTAAATTGGGGGGCTGGGGAGATGACTCGGTGGCCAACTACTTGTCACGAGAGCATGCAAACAAGAGTTCAGATCCCCCATATCCTAGGGAAAAAGCAAAGCATGCCGTCACACAACTGCAACCCCAATGCTAGAGCAGTGGAGACAGGAGGATCTCTGCGACTTGCTGGGCAGCGAGTCTAGCCAAACTGGCAAACCCCAAGTTCGCTGAAAGATGCTGCCAAAAATTAAGATGGAGAACAATGCAGGAGGCGGGTACAAGAAGGCGCTCAGTGTTGACCTCTGGTCTCTACATGTACACACGTACACACATACATTTGAGCACTTTCCCCTCCCCACAGATGTGGATTCATTAAATCATGGCATGACCATTGTTGGAATGTTACTGAGGTAATGAAAATGAAATTGTTTTAGCATGAGAAAATGTTCATATATGTTTCTAGTTGAAAACTATACCGCAAATTATTTTAACTGCCTTATTTCAAGCTAATATGACAAAATACCATAGATAGTGGCTTAAATATCACATATTTATGGGTCACAGTTCAGGGAGGCTGCAAACCCACAGCCGAGGTCCTAACATTGTCACTCCCTGACGACAGTCCTCTTGCCTTCTGGTCAGCTGCCTCTTGCTGTATCACATGACAGAACGGGAAGGGGCAAATGGAGGAGAGAGGGGCGAGGGAACATGCACATCCCGGTCCACATACCTCATTGAAGTGGCACTAATCATGAGAGGGTCACCCCTCATGACTGTACCAAACCTAATCACCCCACAAAGGTCTGCTTCCTAATACCATCGCATTAGGGCTTTGACGGGAGAATTTAAGGGAGACCAACATTTGGTGGGAAATGATGAAGTGTATGGGATGGTTATATATCAGGATAACAAATAAGGCCTATCTCGGACTTTGGGATAACAGCAGCGTTACACTCTTTTCTGATTGTCTTGCCAACGTCGTGGTGTCAAAACACAAATCACGATAAAGGTAGGTACGTATCTAAGATGACGTATTCAGGAAGGTCATTACTCTCGGAGCAGGAAGTACTAGCTATGATAGGGAGAACTGTCTGTCCCACCCAGGCACAGAGGACAGGTGGCCCGATGTTCAGAACAGTCCCTTATTGTTTCTTTTATTTATCAATTTCAACTTACATTTTCATTTTAAGTTTCATCTCTGTGTGTACTTCTTTCTGTTCACAAATTATAAAGACCAAATTAATTAGGCATGATAATGATAGGAGCAAGTTCTCCCAGCGTTCTGCACTACCCCCCAGCTTTGAATGACAATGACAACTGAGTGCCACGCTGTAGACAGCCACCTGCTTCGCTGATAGATGAGACCGGAAACCCCAGTTCTTTGGTTTGCGACACTCTCATGGCAAGGCAGCCTCTGCAGCTCCCTGGCCCTCTAGAATAGGGATTGGACAGTGTGCTGGATAGTTTTATGTCAACTTGACATGAGCTAAAGTCGTCTGAGAGAAGGGACCTCAACTGAAAAAATGGCTCCAGAAGACTGTGCTGTAGGCAAGCCTATAGAGCGTTTTCTTCATTAGAAAATGACAGCAGAGGGCCTGGACCATGGTGGGTGGTGCCACACCTGGGATGGTAGCCCTTTTTTGTTGTTTCTTGTTGTGTTGTGTTTGTTTGTTCGTTTTTGAGACGGCTTCTCTGTGTAACAGCCTATCCTGGAACTCACTCTATAGACCAGGCTGACCTCAAACACACAGAGATCTTCCTGCCTCTGCATCCTGGGTGCTGAGATTAAGGGTGTGTGCACCACCGCCCAGCTGATCTGGAAGTCTTGGGCTATAAGAAAGCAGGTTGAGTAAGCCAGTAAGCAGTGCCTCTCCATGGCCTCTGCATCAGCTTTGGGCATTGCTTGTGGCCATGATGTTTCTCATCACATCAGTTGTAACCCTAACGAGGACAGGCTGCTTGACGGGGCAGACTTGAGATCACAGAAAGACATCTCTCTTTATGTGCAGCACCCTGAGGGGGTGTCCTCATTTATTCATACTGTAGTAATGAGCACTCAGAGTCTAGCTACGAGCCTTCCTCACGACACATGCACATCCCCTTCCAGGTCTTGCCTGCAGCCTTCACTAGTCACTCCTATCCAGGGCTGTTCAGAGCTGGAGCCAGTTTCTGGGACTAGGAGACCACAGTGACTATAAAGACTACCTAGGGTTCTAGAGGGAAAAGAATAAGCCCCACCATAGTGCATTAAGCCTTCACGAAATGAGGATACAGTGGGAGAAAGATGTAATTCACTTTGTATTTGAGTTACGGCCACACGGTCTGTTGTGAAGGGCGAAACTAGTTTCTAACAATAACCCTCCTGCGGATTCCTAATTATTATTTTGAATTAAAATCTGCCTTCACATAACTTCTAGTACTTTACCCTACAAGCATCCCTTGGGGTTTTATCAGTGTTATCCATTCTTTAAGTTCCTGAGCCTTCAATTCCCTTTTCCTGTCCTTTCAAAGAATCAGTTTTTGATTATGTTCCAATGATTTGTGCCCCTCCCTGCCCCGGAGCAGTGGTAGGTCTCACACAATGCCTAGTACTCCACTACCAAAAGCGCTGAACTATCATGCAACTCGGTGCCTCTCAGCAACTCTCAGTCCAGTAATTGCTAACTTCCTGTTTTTTTAGCTAGGATCAGTATACTTAAAGGCAGTACTACTTAAAACAAGACGTTACTTCTCAGGCCCTCAGCTCCTTCTGCCTACTAAAGAGAACCGAACTTGCATTGGATTTAGCCTAGTCTACCGTTTCCAGCCCGCGGAATTGAGCGCGGCGCGGCCTCAAGCCCTGCCCACCCTCACCTACTGTGCAAACAGGGATGCGACCGCTGATTGGCTGGCTGCGGCGCGGCTTGATGGCGTAAGCACGCGACAGCCCCGCCCGGATGGCTGGGGGCGAAGGCCGCTTAGTGCTGCAGCCAGAGTGTCTTAACTTGCGGCTTCTCTGAGGGGCTGACAGCTGGGCATGGGCCTCCCGAGGCTTCGCCATGAGCTTCCTGATCGACTCCAGCATCATGATCACCTCCCAGGTGAGCCGCCACCGGCCCTCGCTCGCTCCGGAGAACCCGGATTTGCTCAGCCAGTGCCCTAGCCCGGATGGTTAGGGCTGACTTGTGGCCCTGTCACTCACCTAGCGTGCATCCCACCCCGAGACTTGCGGGTCCGCGCGGGGGCCGGTGCCACCGGGTGGGGTGAGGGCAGTTCCTTCAGTGTCCCGAGGCTTCGGGCTGCGCCGTGGACCGCGGAGCCTGGATAAGTGTGGCTCCGGGCGGGAGGCCTGGCGGCGTGCGACTAACCCGTGTGGGCTTAGCCGGATCCGGGTGCCGACGTGTTTACCTCTCCGACTTCCGAGTCTGACGTTTCCTTTGGGGCTTGACTCGTCTGCTTCGTCCTCTCCTTGCTGTCCGCTCTTTGCTGATCGCGGTCAGAACCTCTTTGCTTCTCAGTTGGCCACCTCCATTCTTTTCTATAGTCGACATCCATCCACTATTATACAAAACTGTGGGCGTATATAAACCACTAGTGAGCCTCTTGCTTTCCCTGTCGTCCGTGCTTTTCGAGGGTCCCCCCACACGCTAATGTTTATCACAGTGTTGACATCATGTACGCATTTATGCGCATAGCTGTGTATTAATGCAAGCACTCACTAAATAATGGGTCACTAGCCGAAGTTCTTCCGATTATTGCTCTTGCCCCCTCATCTTTCCAGTCAAAGATTTTCTCTCCATAGCATCCGAACGGCAAGTGAAGGAAACTGTTCCCTTCAGGAACCTAAAGTAAGGTACATTCCTAGGTTTAAACCCTCCAGACATTTAGGGTTTGCACTGCTGACTGCTAATGCTTCCCCTCTGCGGAGTCTTGTCCTTGCCTCTTGAAAACTTCGATGACAACACAAGACAATATGAGACAAGAAAAGGCCACTCGGTTTCACCATTCTAATATAATAACCGTTTTTCCTTTTTCAAAATTAATACCATTCAAATACATTTGGTTGTTTCTGTTGCCAGCATAGTTTTAAAATTCATGAATACAGAAAATCCTGGACACACAGTCCTTCTTAAAACCTCTCTACACCTCCCTCTTGTCCTTCATAACAACACACAATGGCTTCAGCTTTAGTACCGAGTCAAGATAAAATAACAATACTTAAGTTTTAAGTGGCATTTTCCCCCATGGAACAATATAAATGTCAAAGAGTTGAGCTTGTAGCTCACTGGTATAGCACTTGACTGGAGTATGCAAAGCCCCTGTGTCCTTTGCCAGCCCCTTAAGAATACAAAAATAGAAGTGTAAGTAGAAAATTGCCATTCACTTTTGCCTGTGAAATTGTGAATATAATTCAAAAGTTAACCCCAGAGCATGACTTTCTAATCTTTTAAATTTGTAATCTTTAACTTTTACAAATATATCCAAATGAAATATTAAATTGAATGGATCAAACAGTGCTTTATATTGAGTATCCCTGGCCCATATGTTTATGGGGATATTTTATTATCGTTGAGGTGTTAATGAAAATAAAAATACCACCTTGGGAGGCTTTATTTGCTCCATATCAATAACCAAAGTGGCCTTTTATTCTGGCCACTTTCTTTCTCGTTTCTGCTTCATTTCTCTGCTTCATGAAATCCAAGGTAGTGTCTTCCTTACTATGTCTGTAGTCCCTCGCATTTGAGCCAGCTGCTGGCAGAGAGTAGAGAGACCTAGTCAGTCTTAGTTTAATAGAGAGCTGCTTGCTAGGGAAGCGTGCTTAACTGGAAAGCAACGCAGACACCATTTTCCAGCTTGGCATGAACTGAAAGGTTTATGAAATGCAACCGAGACTTGGTATCAAACCCATCACCTCAGGCCAGCGAGAAGGCTAAGCAGGTGAAGGCCCTCCACACAAGTCTGACAGCCTGGGTTAGACTCTTGGTGCCACAATGGGAGGAGAGAACCAACTCCCTAAGTTGTCCTCTGGCTTCTACTTATGCGCTGTGCGTGCACTAACATGCACACACATGTAATACTTAATATTAAATTCATAAAACTTATTACCTTAGACATTTTTGTTCACCACTGTATAGAATAAGCAGAAGGTCTTCAGTATGCCTTGCAAGCCTCTTACCTTAAGACACTGACGTTAGCTCTTTAGCCTTGACTCTCACTCGCCATGTCCTCATTTTGGTTTATACTTTATAGACTTCCTAGACTTCTTTTAGTTTCGTAACCTGGATGCGCCTTTGTGCCGTCAAGTTTTCAGAGTCTCTTTTCTCCTCTGGGATCCTCTCCCTCATCCCTTCCACTCTTTCTCCTGGCCAACTGCTGCTCAGCTTTCAGATCTCAGCTTGGGTGTCCAAGTACTTCTCCCAGACCAGGTTAGATCAATGTTTCTATTCTTGTCGCCTTGGTCCCCTTCACTCGTCCTATGGGCTGTCATAGCACCCTGTAGTTACTGTTATCTCCTTCGTGGTTATTAACCCTTTGAGAGCTGCAGTTTTGCTTTCTCAGTCCCTGTTCTATCTCTGGAACCTGCCACATATCAATTGCCAATAAATATAACTAATGAATAGAGGCATGAATAAATACCCAAGAAAAGTGTCTTCTCCGGGTAATTCTTGAGAACTGTTCTGCCAATCGTTGTCTTTTTTCAATCTATCCTACTTTCCAAATTTGAAGTCTTTTCATAAGAGCGACTGCCACCTAACTTCTGTTGAGCCGTCAGTTCAGCCTTGTGAACTTATCAGTTCCAGAGTACTCTCGTGAGTGCTGCAGCACACTGTGAGCCAAGGTCAGGGTCTGCTTCGCACAGTTCTAAGACTCTTCAGGTCTTTTTAATAAGCCATGCTGGTTCCCGTTTATTTGAAAAAAAAAATAAAGATTGAAGTTATTTTTCCCTCTATAACCTTGCCAGAATTTGTAGTTGTCCTGAATATAATAAATCCTCCAATTCCTGTTTTTTTTTTTGTTTTTTAAGACAGGGTCTCACTGTTTCCCAAACCTAACCTCAAACTTCTGGGCTCAAGGGGTCCTGCTTTGCTTCCTGTGCAGCCACACAGCAAGCCTGGGCAAGCACACCAGCTGCCGCTACTCATTCGTGCGCTTGTAATTTAAAAGTCCTTTCAGCGGAGCTTTGTCGGTGAGCACAGGGTAGCACGTTAGAGCCAGACAGCTGTCTCTCGTTTCCCATTCTGTGTCTATCATTCACACACACACACACACACACACACACACACACACGTATAGCGTCTATGTTTAGCCATGTGACTTGGTACCTTTTCTCAATGAGGCATTCTCACCTTGCTTCCTCTGTGTCTTGGTGGTGACTGCAGACTGAGTCTTTCCTCTTTCCAGAATTCTAGTCTGGTCACCCTGCCTATACTTCCTGCCTGGCTACTGGCCAATTGGCGTTTTATTAAACCAATATGAGTGACAACTTTTTCCAAGGTACAAAAGCATTACCCCACAGCCTCAGCAACCCTCATCTTTCCAGAATAGTTAAAGCTCCTCAGATGGCATGTTGGGCTCTTGGTGATGGGTTTCCTGCTTCTCCTCCCTATTCTTAGTTTTAAACTTTCTCCTTAATAGACATTATCTTCTGCCACCACCCAGCCATGTAGTTGCCAGTGTGTGCCAACATCAAGTACCCACCTTTGTTCATGACCTTTGCTATCTATAAAGCCCCATCTTCCTGTTCCTACCACCTTTGTCTTTTTCTTACCTGATTTGTTTTTGTTTTGTTTGTTAAGACAGAGTTTCTCTGTGTAACAGCCCTGGCTGTCCTAAAATTCACTTTTTAGACCAGATGGCCTCAAAGTCTAAGAGATCTACCAGCCTCTGCTTCCCAAGTGCTGGGACTAAAGATGTGTTAAGAATAATTTTTAATATTTTAATGATTAAAAACCTTGGAACCTCTGTAGAAAAATGCAGTACTCCCTAAATTTGCACATGGTATTAGGGTCTCACCTCAGATTGCGACCTTCTTCAGTATCACCTCCAGGAAACCTAATAACCCTGTAGAAAGTGCTTTGGTCCCTCGCTGTGTGTTTTACAGCGTCAGGCTCAGGCCCCTCCACTGCTCATCCACGTTACATCATTTAGTGCCTTCTTTACCACTGTGCTATGGCTCTTTGGGATGATAACTGTCTTACCCATCTTTCACTCTCTAGTGGCTGGAATCCCACTACAGACGTTTTGCAGGGAGTATTATGTACAAAGAGCAAGCAGCCAACCCTAATCCTTATTGTGACAGCTTTTAATTTGAAATGCATTTCATCAAGCATTATAAAACCATGTGCTCAGTGCCTTGATAGGGGAAAATATATATGACTGTACAGAAAGCATGCTTGATCTGTGGTTGGGAGGCCATAGTGCATTCACTAAGACCTGTGGGGTTATCTGCAGAGAGAGCTGGGAAGAGTTCCTGTCTGGGACCACAGAAGTCTCAATATGAAAGAACATGTCTCCAGAACTGGGAGAAGTTGTGCCTAAGTAGATGTTGGGTTGGCAGGAAGGACAGGCTGGAATAGCTTGTGCTGACCTGCTCATGCTTTTTCACTCCTGCTACAGTCAATAGGAAGGGCGGAAAAGAATTTTATTCATAAAATTCCCAACCAATACAAGAAGAAAAGAAGGGGTGTGTGTGTGTGTGTGTGTGTGTGTGTGTGTGTGCGCGCGCGCGCACGTGCGTGTCAGGGATAAAACTTTCAGATCAGATCCAGCTCTAATCATCCGAGTCTTGTGTCTAAAGTGCATGGTTCTTCAGCAATGGGGATTTCCATTTCCCTCCAGCCTCCAAGTGGGGTTGCCAAGGGCACCAGCCTTGTTGTTTCAGGAGTCTTTTGGACTTTGCCGACCAACAGTTTGAAAGGAGGTTTCTTACGCCAGGTGCTGGGTTTTTATTAGATGGTCTGTGACTCTTGTGGGGAACATTGTCGGTCAGAGTGGCATAGCTTCATTTTAATATAATTTATTTTATGTGCATTGCTGTTTTGCCTATATGCATGTCTATATGAGGGTGTCAGATTCCTTGGAACTGGACTCACAAACAGTT